CGAGCCCTTCCGCACCCAGTGCACCTTCCCTCACCATGCCATCCGTGGCTCCAGCGTCCCTTGTGGTAGCGGGGCAGCGGCACCCGGAAAAATCGATTGCAAATCAAGTATCGCCTCGGTCGAGCCGAGATTTAGTAACTGCTTGCTTCCTCAAGTTCATTTTTTATGTTTTTTGCAGCTATGCAATGCGAAAAACGCATATCTGTTGTGTTCTTGTGTGTGTGTGTGTGTGTGTGTGTCACGGCTTTTCATCTCAAAAGCTACAAACGCTACAGGGCTGAAACTCTGGTAACTTAATCTACATGGACGTACGGGCCGCAATCCCCAAAAATGGGCGCTCTTACCCGCGTGGTACCCATGTATGGGCTCCTGGAATCTAAGAGCTTGTGAGGCTCCTGCATAGTCGGAAATCGTCCTCTGAAATTTTCAGTTTCTCAGCTCTTTTGGCTCTCGAGGTAATAATTTTCCCCTCAAGACTTTTACGGAGCCACACGTTAGATCCAGACGTAAGTAAAAGTTGAATTTGAATTCACAGAGTCGTGTGTGAGCAAGAGACATTATTCTAAAATTTTAACATCCTTGCTTCCGTAGTTCCCGAGATAATAATTTTCTTCGCCAAACTTCCACGACTCTATGTGGTATCCAGGCGGACCGGAAAGCGCAAATTAAGCTTGCGGAGTCACATACTGGCAGAAGACATCCTAAAATTTTTGCTTCCTAGCTTTCGTGTCTTTCGAGTTGAAAGTTGCCGACAAACGTACTTAGGCACACATACATACATACACACAACTCTGTAATAACATGCATTTTGTGCAGCTGTTGCACAGCAAAAAATGCACAAAACTGTCTTGTTTACATGGGAAAGCATCAAGGATAGCAAGATTACTCAGGCTATTACTTTCAGTGTCTAATGTTAGTGAGATACTATCAAACACCGGTTCACAACTATTCCAGCTCTTTCGATCCCGGACAGCACATCTTCACTTAGTACGCCTATTTAATGTCCCAGTGCATGTCCGATGTGCCATCGACTGTTCGAGATATGTGCCACCTAAGTGGCTGCTGTTTTCCTCGTGAGAACTTACTAAGGCACAACACTCACCTACCTAGCAAGTAGTATGCCCTGCCCATCGGACTTTACATTGTCGCGTGGCCCCAATAAAAATTCTGTACAGTGTTCGTCTGACAGAAAGTCTCTCTCTTCACATGGACAGGAGGGGAAGAATTAAATCATTTGTGCGGTAAAATAAATTCCCGAATTTGCTTTGAGTCATGAAACTGATCAAAATTGATCCGAATGCTCAGGTCAAACTATACAGTACGATTTGGT